TTCTTGAAGTGCTTGCCACCATCCAATTTTAAAATCGTTTGATTGATTAGCCAAGGTCGATCAAACAAGCCATCATGGTAGCTACGTGCAGTTGATCATTGATGGTCTCCAATTGGTTGAAAGTGAGGTGCATCGACAATGAGTACCATGTGTTACATTGGGAATGGCCGTTTAGGCGATCAGGAATGACGATAATGATGATGTTTTTTAGATGACGACAATCTTAATCCCAGTTGGCCTGGCCGTTTATTAATTTGGTAATGGTTGTCCTCATAAGTTCACTGTAGAAATCGAGGTGGAAAAGAGCTGATCGGATACCAACTTAATATAAAAAAATTATCACTTGAACACTGTACAAATAAAAAGATATTCATTAGATTAAGGGATAAAAAATGTTTTTAGAATCGAATCCAATTTTAATCTGTTATGAAATAGGATTTCGCGATATGGAACATTCCATAAATATAAATAAAGCCTACACGCTTTAAATATAATCCTTCAATTATAGTTACGCAGTCGTATGTTTCCTTCTTTCCATTACAGTGTTTCAATTCGAATATTCAATATCATTTTTTTTAAGACCTTGTAATGTTAGCTTATTAAGTCACAGTTAAATTAAGCTGGCCCAGATGAACAAAGCGAGCTTGGATCAAATATTTAGCCCAAGCTCTCAGCTTGTATCATTGTAAACTTGGTCCAAAACATGATGGGTACAATGGATGGCCGGCTCAAAGAAGACTTGTTCATTAACATTAGGCCCGTACTGTTTCTAATATTATTTTCTTTCTTTTTTCGTTATTCAGAGTCGAGTGATTACCCTGATTTTATAGGTGCATTGTCGAAATCAATTTTGTTCTTCGAAGGACAGCGGTCAGGATACTTGCCGACAGACCAGAGAATTGCTTGGTTAGTAAATTTCAATGTTGGCGAGGGGTGGACGGCGGTGAATTCGGACCTAACTAGTGGATATTATGATGTTGCCCATAACATTAGCTCTCATTTGGTCCTCATTAAATTAAAATTCATTTTTCCCTCTTCTTATTAATCATACATTTTTCAATAAAATAATATTATACGTAAATCTAAAAAAAAATTCTTCCTTTTGAACCATATATTCTCTTAAAAATTACTATTCCCCTCGATATAGTTTGAAAAAATAGAGCCCAAACAAGGGCTAAATTCAATTTCCTGATGGCATTCACTACTACAATGCTGGCATGGAGTGTGGTCTAGTTTAGAGATGCATGTCGCCGAAGGAGCTGTGGAATGTTTTGGTTGCGATCAAATGGGGCACATATTATCTGCTCAAAATAGTTTGGCAACCCAATTGTATTTTTGTTCCAAGTATATATTAATCAAAGGGTAATCAATATATAACATCCTTATCTTTCACTATTATTGTACAAAACGTCATTACCTTTTATTCTATGGTATTTTCACAATTATTTTCACATTTCATTGCGTAAAAGGTCATTTTCATTCATTTTCCCAATTAAAAGATGTTTAGCTTGTAACGAGGTGGATAACCATGTAACTTATAGCATTTATCATTTGAATGACCATGATAGTTGCAATAAGTGCATAATGGTCTTTCTTTCTTTTATAATTTGCAACATATATGAT